AAATTGTCTAATTTTATCGGTTTTCGAATTATTTACTTTTAAATGTTTAAATGTATTTTTTCTTCTAAAATATTTATTTTTTAACATAAGCAAAGTTGGGTTATTTTTCCGCTTATGTTTCGACAATTGCCTGTTAATTGTCAACATTGATCTAATTTCCGTGTGCAATAATCATTTTTACCAACAATAAAGTTATTACCAATTTGAAAATGCCACGACATAATGAGTTTTTTAATAGTTAAAAATCCAGATTTAAGTCCACTGGATTTTTGAAAATGGTCACAATATTCTATTGTTATTATTATCTATTATTATCGTTACTAATTGCTATAGTTAGTATGTTATTGATTTTAAATGTTAACCTTAAAATTACTTTGAAACAATTAAAAGGACTTAGACAATGTAAGCAAGAGTACCTTTTTTGTGCAGAATTGTAAACTCCTTCAGATTTCTGGTTCTAATTCACCATACCTCAACTGACAAAATAGTTATGACTTGATATTTCAAACGTACAGTGTGTATCTAGCGAGTAATCACAAAACAAATATCAAACTCGTGTTTCTCATGCTCGAAAATATCTAACTACCAAATTTTATGTAAATAGTACAAAAACCTTCAAAATTATCAAGAAATTTCGAAATAAAAATTTAACTTTCAACACCCTGTGTATTAAAAACCACCGATATTTTTATAAGACATGGTAGGTTAAATCGTCATATTTTGGTGTCTAGTGTCTCCGGTATTCGGATTTCCCATTCTTTTTGACTCACCCTGTATAATAACAAACAGAAATAAAACATAATTACTAGAAAAACGTCTGTTTCCCGTTCTTAAAGTATAATTAGTAAAAACCGGAAGTGCAAATTTAAAAAATAAAACGAAATAAAATCTCTGAAAAAACTCTCTCCGAATAAATTGAGAAAAATTATTTAAAATTTAAATGGGGTCCCTCCATTCATGGTTTCTTGTTTTCAAAGTATTATACAGGGTGTGTCAAATGTCTGGAATATAGCCAATAACTTCGCTATTTGTGGTTTTAAAGAAAAATGTTTCAAATAAAAGTTTCTTTATTAATTGTGGCGCATTTTTTGGCGATATTTGCTTAAACAAGCAATTTACATTATTTGTTGTTTCGTTACTATGGCAACCAACATTGTTATTTGAAATGGGATACATATGTTTTTTTTTGCATATTTTGATAGAAGATAAATCCCTCCACGCGATGAACATATCAAATCATATGGTTATATAAGAAAAAAATCGGGAAAAAATGCGTTTTCTGAAAATATTAAATTACAGCAAATTAAATCAAAGTAGGCGCCGAAATAGCGCCGTTGACTTTAAGCTTTAAATGTCAAAAAATTGACAATTTAAACAAATATGGCGCAATTAAGCGAACAGCAAAGAATCCAAATATTAATGCTGTATGGGTATGGTGATAGAAAATGCACTCAAAGTGTTCAATAATGTTCAATACTAGTACGAAGGCTTTCACGGCCGGTGTGAATTAAACTAAAATTAGAACTAAATACTTCGAACCAGTTTCTGAAGAAGGTTGCAACATGACATCCGAAACGTCAAACCTTTTATTAAAAGACGCACGGCAAAACCCGAAAGTTTCTAGTGTTAGTTCTAATTTTGGTTTAATGTTCAATACTGTTCAATAATATTTACCCGGATACACAATCCACAGTATCCAAAATATTAAAAAAATTCCTTAACACCGAAATTGTTAAAAACCTTCCAAAAAGTGGACGGCTGAAGACAGCTACCAATGACGAAACTACATTAAATGTGTGTCACCGTACCCATACATTATTAATTATTCATAATTGTTGAAACTGTCATTTTTTGACATTTAAAGCTGTCAACGGCGTTATTTCGGTGCCTACTTTGATTGTAAATTACCGATTTAATATTTTCAGAAAACGTATTTTTCTCGATTTTTTCCTTATACAACTATATGATTTGATATGTTCATCGTAAAGAGGGTTTTATCCTTTATTAAAATGTGCAAAAAAAAAACATATGCATCCCATTTAAAATAACAATGTTGGTTGCCATAGCAACGAAACAAAAAACAATACAAACAAGTAAATACCGTCAAAAAAATACGCCACGATTAATAATGATACTTGTATT